CCTCTGACACACCCATCCCGATTACCCCAGTCACTGAATCAATCCACCTCATAGAGGGTCTTCCCCTCCTGCGCTGTCCCTCCACTCTACCCAGCATGATGTCCCTCTCTAAAGACCTGTCTCTCCTTACAACATGTCCAAAGTATGTCAGGAGAAGCCCCAGAATCCTTGCCTCCAACAAGCAGCCTGGTTTAACCCTCTCTAGGATGAATCTGTTTGTTTTCTTGGCAGTCCATGGCACAAGACTTAAATCATTAACTGAAGACAATTCTGGGTAAGGAAGAGAAGGAAGCATTCACTGTTTAACTGTGGACATATGTGTCAGACAAGATGGCCTTTAGAGTGAACATACTATATTAAAAGTCCAATTTTTAAATTATTGTCCATTAAATAAGAATGTCTGACTCCATTAAATAGGAACGAAATATCCGTGATAGGTTATTATGGCACATATAGGGGAATGTAGAGCAGATAAATTTTTTTTTCTCATTCAAGTGTCTTTTTTTTTTAAGTGCCAATGTAAGACTGAGTTAATTACAGAGTGTAAAAGCTATCTAAGAGTGATTGAGTTTATAAAACATAATGCATGAGAATGATTATATGGAACACAATGTGAATGAAGAATAGTGTGAAACACAATGTATATAAATTTTGTAAGTAAGCCAATTAAAAAACATAAAACAAAAATAAAATTAAATTAAAGAAAAAAATCTAAGACTTTTTTAGGGAGTTAGCTCTCATCTTCCACATTTGGTGAATTTTGTAGGCTGTATTTAATCTCTGTATTCCTAAAAATCTTCCAGTTCAATTTCAAGATTTTTCCACTGACATTAAGTAAGCTTACGGAATCATAAGGGACTACGCTGGTAAAAGATATGAAATTAAAATGAGAAAGTTAATTTTTAAAGGACAAATCAGAGGATTAGATCAGTTAGTTTTTCCCCTCCATTTAAAATAATGTTTAAAATATGCCAAATGTTCTTCTGAATAATATGCATTCCATTTAAATAATATCAGGAATGAATGTAAAGATAAAGTATAATTTGCATACACAACATAACATACTCAAATGCAAGACACCTGACGTACACAGGAAATAACAAGGCTGGCTGCTTTAAATGAGCTCTGGCCACCAGACACCTAGTTTTGGCAGCTGATTGGTAATGACCAGGAAGAAAGAGGCTGACCAAGACATTCTTCATCTTCTTACTACCTGACTAGTGATGCTCTTTTTCCCAGTTTCATTTACGAAAGCTAAAGGGACAGAAATGGAATGGACCCTGTGCTTTTGCAAGTCTATCTGTTCTACAAATTCTTTCCTGCCTAGACCTTGCTGAGAATGGTCTTGTTTTCCTCCCTACCCATATCTTGGAGACTCCGGAAAACCCACTCACTTCCTCTAAGACAGCCTAATGTGTCAATGTGAGTTGAGGGAAGCCTGAAGCTGTGTGACAACAATAACTGCAACAAAAGAAACTCTTTTCCCACGCATTCTCATTTCCTTTGTGGAACCACTGCTTGTTGGTTGGACCGCTGAAGGGCTGGCGATGGGCACGTGATACAGAGAGGGAAACAGATCTTGGCTCCCCTCCTAGGGCTGCCAGACAGGACCCCTTCAGTGGTCTGTTGGTGGAGCTGCAGTATCTAGTTTTTAAAATTAACTATTCAAAGAAAGCCATAATCCTGTGAAATACAGCTTAGCTCATAGCTCTTTCTTTCCATAGCTTTTAATTTGAAAAGTCACTGTAAAGATACTGTTAATTATATACTTTGTGATTAAAATTATTTAAAGGTGAGACTGGTACTGCTTGATTCTGACTCCCAGTTGCCTATATGACAAGGGTAGAGGTACCATACAGGGCTTCCCAGGCTGTATTAAAGGACATCACCAGCATCAGGTCTTTCCTCCTCTGGCATCTTTGGGTGGGTTCAAACTACTGACCTTTGGTTAGCAACCAAGCAATAAACATTTTGCTACTAGGGCCCCCTAACTATGAGACTGTTGTTGCTGTGTACCATCGAGTCGGAACTAGCCATAGCTGACCCTTCAGGAGGTTTTCAGAGGCAGCTAATCACACAGGAGGAGACTGCTCTTCCTTCTCTCACAGAGCAGCTGGTGGCCTTGAACTGAGTGCCTTTGGGATTATAGTGCAGCTTCCTACCACTAGGCCAGCAGAGCTCCAAATAACTATGTGACTAGAGATACCTATTATTTTTGACTTAGGAACTTCTTTCTAACTGGTCAATCAAGGTCAGAAGAAACTGGCTATTTAAACATGATACATCATAAAAGGAAACAATGTAATGAGATGACAGATTCTCATTTCTGTACTAAGTGTATAAAATGATACAGTTGTTGTCTGCTTTCGAGTCAGAACCAACTCATAGCTGACCCTTCAGTAGGTTTCCAAAAGCAGTAAGCCACATGGGAGGAGAATGCCCATGCTTTACCCGTGGAGTGGCTGGTGGTCTCAACCCAGGTGCCTTTGGAATTGCAGTGCAGCTTCTTGCCACTAGGCCACCAGAGCTCCAAATGTCATCAAGCATCAATGATGTTTCTCCACTGTATAGTGGAGAAAAAAAACTGGTCCTTTCACCCCCCAAATGAAGACTTTCTATGACATGGAACTGGAATGATACAATTATGATAATGCCTTCTATTATTTATATAAAAGCTTCTTGATGAGAAATGAAAAATTAAAGATTACAAGAACAAAAAATGTAAAAGAAACGTAATTCTTGGTATTTTGGGAAAATGTGCTGCAAAAGAATTCTCTAAGGGGTTAGAAAGCAAAGACAACACATTGAGGACTAAGGTGGGCCTGACCTAAGCCATGGTCATTTCAATTGCCTCATATGCATGTGAAAGCTGGATGATAAGTAAGGAAGACTGAAGAAGAATCAATGCACTTGAATTATGATGTTGGTGAACAAAAAAAATGAATATACTACGGGCTGCCAGATGTACAAACAAATCTGTCTTGGAAGAAATACAGCAATCTTGCTTCCTTCAGACATGCTATTAAAAGGGACCAGTCCCTGAAGACATCATGCTTGGTCAAGGAGAGAGTCAATAAAAAAAAAAAAAGAAAGAAAGAAAGAGGAAGACTCTCATTGAGATGGTCTGACATGTACCTGCAACAATGGCTCAACCATAGTTACCAACTGCCAGGCTGGTGCAGGACGGGGCATGACTCACGCTGCCGCATGCTGGGGTAGCCAAGAGTTGGAACCTGCTTGATGGCATCTACCTAACAACCAACAGCAAATGGGCTTTTCAAATGGACTTTTTTTTAAAAGCAGGAAGAAGTCATATAGACTTAATGATGTGATAGTGACAAGAGTGTGCAACTCAGGTCAATTTCATTGACGTCACCAACAGTGCAGAAAAGTGGTAACATAGTGGGTTAATTTCCTTAGTCATGGAATGGTCTTGTCTTTTCATAGCAAGTCAGCTGGTGCTGTATTCTTTTCTTTTTTTTTAAAGCAAAATTCCCTCAGCTTCAATACACTCCTTCAGTATACCAGTGAATGGCTGTATTTCAATTTACCCACTAGACTGAGTGCTTGCTTTTGGGTAGAGCTTTTAAATAACAGCCTCCCAGATGGTGAACCGGAAACCCTTCTGAAAGTCCTAGTCCAAGCCTGGAGAGCAAACTCAAGTCTGTCTATTCAGACCTTTTTTCTTGTTTATCAAACATTACACATATTTTTACCAAAGGGGTACAAAATGAAAAAAAAAATGCTTGGTAGTATTGATATGTACTTAGATGAATAAAGGATTGGAACTGTTTATATGATTGTGTGTATTGAGGAGCAGAGGTCAATGACTGCTTGTTACTCTGTAGAAAACAGCAATAGATGATAGTTTGTTAATGTAAACAATTCTGACTGTAAGCGCCGAGGAAACCTTCCTTGATTCTCACTTCACTGACTGGTAAGTAAATACAGTATTTCTGAATTCAATCTGCACACTCTTAAGACGCAAGACAAGGCCTTACAGTTTAGCAGAAATTCCCCATGTTCTTTGAATCCTTGGGGTGAGTGTTTTTGATCCACGTGCTTTTTTTATGTTTGAATAGCAGCAATGCAACTCCCTGCCACACTGGAGGGAATGCGTATTCCCTCTCAGAATTAACTGACGCACCACACTCATATCTTGCTTAAGTCTGAACTTCGGATTCAGATTTTTTAAAAGGTGTCATGATTGTCGCTTATCATCCTCCTTAGATGAGGTGTGGCTGCTTCTGCTTTGGAAAGAACCAAAAAGGCGACAAGGTTCTCTTCTAAAACTTGCTACAGTTGTATAGGGTCACATGACTTTCTACTTTTTCTCCAGTCCTGCCATTCTTATGGGAGGCTGATACACTAGGGAAGGAGTATTAAAAGAAATGGGTATAGTTATGCTACTCAAAGCATGCAACATAATTTGGATAAGCATGCTTGTTAAGAGTCAAAAAAAGCTTCTTGCCGGTGAGAAAAAGATGCATGGAAACAGACTTAATTCTGGCAAATGGATTCACTGGCACAACATAAATTAATTATATGATCTTATACCAAAACAATAGCGAAATAAGAAGAGTCCTCAAGGATGAGGTCTTTAAAACGATGCATGTTGGGTGACCAGATTCCCAAACCTCTTAATAACAAGTTCTCAGCTACCAAATGCCTACTTCAAAAATACACTATGCTTCAATTTTATCTTTTCATTAACATAATGAAATACTTTTCTTTTTGTCTGATTTTCAACTCCCACCCTTTGCCAGTACCCAGTAATTACACCTTATCTTTGTGTTTTTAAAACCCACACTATAAAATTTGGCTTTCTGGCCACACGGAGTCAGCGATTGTCTTCTGCTCATCATCTTCGATTAGAACTTCGGATGAAGAATGCCTGGTGGAATCATGCTGTCTCTTACCATCAACACACCCGCTGACCAGTAAGAGTGCTGCCTCTGTCCCTTTGCTGTTCGCCCCATGTGGGCTGCACAGGCAGGGCACACGTTCCAGCAAAGCCACCACGCTCTTCTTTCACCACGAGTTAAAGTTAACACACATTCAAATCCCAGTGCAATATCAGGTTTTCAGGAAGTGGTGCTTCCTCCAACGATTGTCAATCTATGTTTCCAAACAGTCTTGCATTTCTTTATGGACGATGAAACCTGAAACAAGAAACAAAAGCTCTGTGGGTTTGTGGTCCAGAAGCACAATATTCAGTCTGTGAACTGAATAAGGAATGTCCGTGCTTACCATTCAAGGCAATCCTAGAAAGCCCACAAATGAATTGGTGCTATGATTCACATTGTCACATTATGGTGACAACAGAATATGTTTATAACTGTTATGCTGGAAAGCAGAGATAACTCCCTATAAAAAGGAGGGTGGTGGTTATACCATTCTTGTTACAGAACGATCAATGCAGGAAACACCTGTATTATGTTTATTTTCTGTTTTGAAAACATTATTATTTGTCCACTCATGCATACTTTCTTGCCTTCCTGGTTCTTAAGGGTTAGGAGAAGGTTCATATTAACCATGGAGATGTTCTATAAAGAATTTATTGACATATGGTTGGGAAATGAAAATATCAACAAATAGCCTCATTTTGGTGGCTTTAGCCTCTCATGTCCAACTGATAATGTCAAATATTCTTAACAATCATGAATTTCCAAATGTCTTTCAAGCATTTCCACCTGAAAGTTCCACTGGCAAAATACTGAGCATGCCCATAACTTTGTTTGTAAACTTGTCTTTGTACTTTCTATATTGCTTAAACGTCTAACTCTTTGTTAATCTGTATTTGTCCAAATATTCTACAGAAGAAGGAGGATGAGGAAAAGGAGGAGGAACAGGAGGAAGAGAAGTTTACTCTGATCAAAAGGGAGAATATGTAGAAAAACCCTTCAAATTATTTTGGAATATATTCTTTAGATCTAGAGTCATTAAACTTCTGAAACTCTGCCCTGAGATAATTGGAACCTCATAAAAAATATTTCCTGAAGACTCCTTCAAACCAACAGTATAGAGGGCCTTCCTCTCCTTCACTGACCGTTCCTCGTTCCAAGCATGATGCCCCTTTCCAATGAACACCCTCACCTAGCTACACCTCCAAAGAATGAGAGCTGAAGATTTGCTATCCTTGCCTCCAGGGAGCACCCTAGCTGCTCCACGATGTATCTGTTGGCTTCTTTTGGCAGTCCATGGAATATTTAGCACCATTTTTCAGTACCACAACTGGAAGTCATCAATTCTTCTTCTAGCATCCTCTCATTGTCCACTTTCTCATGTGTAGCAGGTGCTTGAAAAGACTATGGCCTGAATCGGGCACATCTTCGAAGTTGACATCACTGCCCTTCAGTATTTGAGAGGTCCCTGACAATGCACTTGCCCAGTGAAATATGTCTCCTGATTTCCTAACTGATGGTAGCAAGGGTGTTGATTGTTGATCCAAGCAAGAGTCACTAGGAACTTCATTCTGTCCTCTCATATGCAACATTTTCCCCACCTCAGTCCCTCTGTGCTAGCTCTTCCCCTGAACAAAGCCATACTCTTAGAGGGAGGAATGCTCTTCACCTTCACGTGTTGACAGTTCCTTCTTGTATTTAAACCACAAGCCTCTTTTTCTTAAATGCCTTTTTCTGGCTATCCTTCACATATACTGACTCCCACTGTGATCCTGATCTCCCTCTTTACCTTGTTTTTACAGCGTTTCTCTGCTGTTGGGTCTTGCCAATCTAAATCTGATTCACAGCAACTCCACATGACTGAGTCAGGATACCCCGCAGGATCTTCTTGGCTGCCGTCTTTCTAGGAGAATACTGCCGCATCTTTTTCTCATGGTGGACTTGAACCACCAGCTTCTTGGTTAGCACCTGAGTAGTGAGTCATTGCGTCTCCTGCAGTCCTGAGCGCTACGTGATAGTATCATGTTGATTTACTTGTTGATAGCTTGTCTGCCTCACGAGCACAGAAGCCACGTGAGAGTGGGGACATTATCTTATTTGTTCTCCATCGATTTCCTAGTGTCTAGGACAGTATGGCTCATTATCTGGGCTCAATAAATGTTTGCTGAGTGTGTAAATAGCTGAAAATACACACAGTGGACTCCTGCAGCATGACAGAGAGGGAAGGGTGGTGCAGGACAGGGCATGTTTTGGATCCGTTGTTCACCGGGTCACTACACGTTGTAGGCAATTCCATGGTCTGGCACAGGTCCAGGTGATTACCTAATTTAATCCTCAAAATAATTCCATGAAGTAGGTTTTGTGGTTGGGTTTGTTTTTTTTTTACAGATTAGAAACTGGGGCACCAGGTAGGCTTAGTTGTTTGTGTAAGGTTGAGAGGTGACAGGTCCACACTCCAAACCTATCCTATCTGCTGTAATTATGAACCATCCAGCTGGAACTGACCCTCCAGGAGGTTTTCAGAGGCATTAAATCACATGGGAGGACACTGCCCATCTTTCTCCCGTGGAACAGTGGGTGGATTCAAACCAAATGTCTTTTGGTTGGGAACGCAGCTCCTTACTACTCTGTCACCAGAGCTCCCTGCTGCATGGGAGAAGAATGGGCAATCTCTTCCTGTCAGATTTACTGCCTCTGAAAACCTGCTGGAGGGTCAGTTCTGACTCAGTGGTATATAACACAACCACCATCACCAACTGCTCTTGACTCCATCTATTACTATCTAGGAGATCAAAACTCATGTCTTCATTTAGCGTAATTTGAAGGCTGTTCTGTTTGCTTGCTTGCTTGTTTTTCAGAGGCTTGGGGAATAGTGGGTTAAGTGTTTGGCTATTAACAGAAAGGCTGGCAGTTCAAACCAACCAGCTGCTCTATGGGAAAAAGGTGAGGTAGTCTCCTCCATGATGACTGACAGCCTTAGAAACCTGATGGAGGGTGGCCTTCATTTGGCCCTGATACCACAGCAGTAGCCTTTGGGTTTTCTGGTAGAACGGGACAAATAGGTGATCAGTTGGATTTCTACATAAGGCTGTGACCATTTTCATGGAAGAAAAATCCTGACCCACCTTCCCAGGACCAACTTTAGTGCCATACTGGTGACCTGGTGTGCATGGGTTAGTACAAGTTTTTATGATTCCTAGAAAGCAAGTCCAGTGAGGTCCTGGGACTGAAGTCAAGAACATCATGTCCTTCTGCTAAGGACACACTAGCGTTGATCAGGTGTCTCTAAGGAGCCCTGAACACAAGAAAACATATTGTGTGTTCAGGAGCCTCACATCAAAGGTCTCTCTTTTGTGGGTTTAATTCTTCTAGGATCTAAGTAAAAACTCATTCAAATCAGCAATTATTTAAGTCTTCTCCAAATCTTCCACAATGCCCTCACAGCTAATCTCTGGATCGCTATCCAGGATTCAAAAGACCAGGCTGGGGAGACCTGTCATGCATTTCCCATCAGTGATGTCTGTAGGTGAAGCATGAACATTAGGAACTGGGCTGGATGACACAGTGAGGAGTCAGGGGTTCTGAAGGGACAATGTGAGGTCCAGAATCTAGCTTTTAATTTCCCCAAAGGTACCATATGATTTTTTTCCACCTATAAGCACTATATGCCCACAAATATTATCAGAGAGTAATTATTACAGTGTAGATGGTACTAGAAGTTCACAGGCTACGAAGAGAAGGCAAACAACTGTTACTGGGAAAATATGCTGAAAAAGCTATGGTCAGATATATAACCAACCACTCTCCATATGGACTGTCTCGAGCTGGGGAAAGCTCATGCGTTTTCCTACATTAGGGCACCCCATCAGGAAATCCGAAGCCACTGTCCCTGACCCAGTTCTGACTCATGGCGACCTGGTATCGTTTCCAAGGCTGCACATTTTAATGGTAGGGGACTAATCCTTCTCCAGAGGAGGACCATGTGATCGAACTGCCAAACTTTAGGTTAGCAGCCCATCAAAGAATGATAATTATGTCCTGCCTAAGTTGGGTATCTCATCTTTAAATAAACTGCTGAAATTTTCTGATTAGTAGGAGGGAAAATGGAAATTATTCTCAACACTATTGCTATCAAGTGGTTTGCACTCACTTTAAAACCTGAGAAGTTCAGTTTTACCTCTGGAGAAGCTTGTCTGTGTGACAGAATGACAGTTTTGGCTTCAGGCTTCAAATTGATGGAGCAATAAATAGATTTACCAAGCCCTGAGGAGGGAGACCTAGCTTTTTGTCCATCTCTTTTTAGAATTTTCCTGAGACTCAAATTTGAACTCACCTATATTTCCCTCCTCTTCATAAAACTGGAATATATTACTCTTCCTTATTTTCATACTGTTGAAAGGGACTGGATAAGGGAAAGTTATTTTTATGTTGTGGAATTTCGGTAAAGATCATTCTCTATAAAAATTGTTCCTCCACAATTTAATTTTTAGAAGTGTATTTATCTTCCTGAAAGTTTGTCCAGATAATTTAAGTTGCTTTCAAGTGCAAAATAAGATTTTCTCTATGAGGGTCTAAAATCAGAGACACGCGGTTTGGGTGTAAGTTGGATGGCACAGAAGTGGGGCCTTAACTTTTTATGAAGGTCTTGAGTCAGACATGAATCTGGAATTCATGCTGGATTTTTGAAAGTTGCTTTTCCAAATGGCAGTCCCTTGGTGCTGACTTGGGCCACAGGCCCCAAAGATGACACTGTTTTTCTTTAAAGTCTGGCTAGTGCAGGACATGGAATCTACTCCCGAAGAGGCTTGGTCACTATGGGCCAATGGATGCAAGATACAAGAATCTTAAGAGACACTGTTACCTGAACAAGTAACAGGCTTGGCTGAGGATGACTAGACTATTAGAAAAACAGATCCTGTCCACTGTACTAATGTACTACCCTGTAATAAACTGTACGACAGGTACTTTTGGCCAATCACGTAGTCTCAATGATATGCATTCCTGCCACATTCTCACTTCTAAGATATCTCACCTTTAACTCCCTTCATGGTCTTTCAGCCAATTAGGGGTTTTGTAATTTTTTTTGTTCCTGTCCCAACAATGGAAGAGTCAGTCCTTTGCCAACTGGCAGAGTGACCATTTCCACTCTAACAACGAATATTCCCCTGGTGCAGACAGTATCTATTCCTCCATAACTCCATTTGCTTTTAGTTAAGCAGACTTCATGATATTGCATTATGGCATTTCCTATATTTCTCTAGTTAGTATATTTATGAACCCCACTTAACTCATTTCTTATGTAAAGTGTTATATTATCACGTCACAGGCACCAGATCAACAGACACTGTGAGGCTGCCAGCAATCTCCTAGACACCATTATTCGATCTGAGAAGCTAGACCATACATTGCCAGTTCACTGCACCAGGCTTTCAACACCAGCCCTGAAAAGAGTAGCTGGCCAAGATTTTTCATTTCTGTCCAGGTAAATGGAGCATCCAGGAGAGAAATCATTACTACAAAGATTGCCTTCTCATTCCTTGGTGGAGCACACCTTTAATTCATTCTTACTGCAGCTTCAAACAGTTCCTGCCATGGCACATTTTCTAACATATGTGTGGATGTTGAAAGCGGATCACCTGATTTGTAAATCCACCTGGGACAGTATTATCTCAAGAAAGTAAAGCCCGAGTTGACAGTCTTGAGAGAGAGAGAGAAAGAGAGAGAGAGAGAGAGAAAGAGAAGAGAGAGAGAGAAGGAGGAAGAAGAAGAGGAGGAGGAGGAGGAGGAGGAGGAGGAAGAAGAAGAAGAAGAAGAAGAAGAAGAAGAAGAAGAAGAAGAAGAAGAAGGAGGAGAAGGAGG